GGATTGGCGTACGTCTGGGGCTTGCCAGTTATTTCGTCCAGACGAACTTCACGCGCGAAGGAGTTTCATACAGTCGGCGATCGAGTTGAGTTCGCGGTCGGTGTGTTCGAGACATGACTCTGCACGGGCGTGTCGGACTCCGCGTTTGAACATGGCAACCCCTTTACTAGCTGGGAAGTCCACTTCGTCCAAGATCGTCTGGAGTCGAATTGCGTACGCCTTTACCGGTTCGTCCATGTAACGCTCAGACGCTTCGATCAGGTTGTCCACGTGGTCGCGAGGAGTGCTGCTGCAGAACTGGTCCACAAAGCTGTCATGGATCTCAGACCAGACCTCACCGCCTTTCGTCTTGGAGTAGGCGATCCACCAGGCGTTCAGGGTGGTGGGAGTCTTGTCGGCCGAGAGCTTCAGACCGAGAAGGGACTTGCGTTCGTCGTCGGTCAGACCACCGCGGTCAGCTTGTTCCACGAGTTGCTTCATGAAGTACTCACAGTGATCATGGGCGTCCGATGACGGGGTGGTAGTGTATTTCACAGCGCGACCGAATGCTTGGTTGCTCGAGGACGTGTCGATAGCCTCCTTGACATCAGCCATTTCAGTGGACATTTTGGTCAAGAGGGCAGTGAGCTCGGAAGGTAGCTGAAAAGGGTAGCCCGAAGATGGTTCGGGTGCCGGGATCGAAGCTTGGGCTAGACAGGACGAGAAGTCTAGACTGAGCTGATCGATGTGTGTTTCGAGAAGTAGCACGCGGTCTTGCAGAAGTGTCTTGTCGTGGACGAGAGACGAGACGCGTTCGTGTAAGAGTTGGTTTTCCTGGCGAAGCGCTTCGAGGCAGGGACGAGTGTCGTCCGTAAGGGCAGGTGGTGCAGGAAGTTGTTCGTGGAGGAGACGACCGAGAATTTGGACGTCACACGAGAGGCGTTCAACTTCGCGGGAGACACGATCTTCGTACGAGTGAAAAGCGGTCCGCAGTTGAACGGTGGCCGAGGCTAGACTTTGCACTGAAGAATGCAATTCAGAAATAGCCTGAGCATTGACAGAGATTGCTGTGGATCTGAAACTGCCAACGCAGGAGTTCGAAGGAGATTCACGGAAGCGTCCAATGCTTGAAGTTCACCTTGGATCGACGAAACGTCTTGAGTCAGAGTCTTATTAGGTTCGGCCACTGTATCAACAGCGTTGCCGAGGTGGACAAGTTCGTCAGTAGCAGCTAACTGCCAGGCACCGGTCGACGAAAGGGTTTCGTCCACTCTGTGCGCAAGGTCCGTGGTCGCAACTTGGTGTTCGAGGAACGAGGCTCGCAAGGTTTCGACTTGGGCTGAAACGTGGTCTGAAAAACTTTGGAGTGAGGCTCGCAGTTCTAGATTTGCAAGATCCGCACTGGACGGAGAACTTGCGACCAAATCCGACTCGATAGTAGCTTGGATGATCGAGTTGTCGTCCGTTTCCATTTCACCAAAGTCGTCGAGAATGGAGCGGATGGGAGGTGGTCTGTCAAGCGTCAAGATTGACGGCATGGTCAACGACGGCCTTTCATTGGTCACGTCGATCTCCATAGGTTCGTCGTGGTGAACTACAGGAGCCAGACCAAACGGTAGGTCCGGTTCAAATACTTCCTCCGTTTCATAAAACTGGAGACCTTTTGTCCTCAGAACGATGTCTCTGCCAAAATTTAGCCAAACTAGCTGAAAATGCATGGAATTGCAGCCAATGAAACGACGAGTAAACAGGTATTTTTAGATTTTTTTTATTGTTCCTTGGCGCTTCACAACCAAGGATCAAAGGGCCAAGCCCAAGCCAGTCAAACTAAAAACATCCGTAACTCAATCATTTCTTGTCCAATCGAGCTCAAATCAAGCGCAAACGACTCGTCTCGTTGCGTAGATATTGCTAGCACACCTCAGAACCGCGGAAAAGTTTCTGTGGGTGGACTTACCCTTCAAAGGGTCCTTGAGGAAAGTTTGAGGATGGGCGGCGACAACTCGTACAAGTTACCGCATTTGGGCAAGGACAAAGTTTTACGCCATGGACCGGCCGCTCGCGTCGTTTGTGATCCAGATGTGGTCAGTAGCATTCAAGCGATGAACACTCGAATGGACTTCGAGCGTAGAGTAGATAACCTTTCTAGTGTTCTTGCTTTGTGTGTCGTTGAGAGTACGATCAATATGTCCAATATTGACGAACTCTGCACAATGGTTGAAGAAGTTAATGACGACGAAGGTTGACCCATATCATGCTGACTCCTGTCGTACAATGCGGATTTTGAATAAAAATACAGTTTTGTGATATGTTTGGCCTACATAAATCAAGATAAAATTCTTCCGGATAAAAAGGTCTCCAGTTTTATGAAACGGAGGAAGTACTGTTCAAGTGCTGATAACGTTCCACGATAGGTTGATGAATGGGCACCATGCCGAATAGCCGACTGGACTCGACATGGTCCGTGATGGCCTCGACACCCATGGATTCGTCTGGACGGGCAGACAAGACGTAGTCCATCAGTTGGGGGGAAGTTCGAGATCTCGGATCCACGTGAGCGACTGGGGACAATCCAAATGGTAAGGCAGGATTGTAGACGGCAGACTCGTGAACGAAGTTGGAAGCAGGCAGGGCCAGACGAGTCGGCGACGAAGAGTCAAAGCGCGATCTCGTCTGGTCCAGTACTAAATTGGTTTCGTAGTTTTCGGGTGAAGCTCGTCTCGCCACAGTCAGCTGGACTTCAGAGTTGCAATTTTATGATGTTGGATACACAAAAGTGTACCTATAGTTATTCTTAGTACATCAGGAAAGGTGATTATCGTCTATTCCAGCATGGATTCTGACTTAGAGGCGTTCAGCCATAATCCTA